GAGTTTTGGGAGCCGTTGCTCGCGAGGCCGAGCTGCTGCTGCTGCGCGGCCTCCTGCGCCTGGCGGTTCGCGGCCTCCATGGCCGCGCGCCGCGCGGCCCGGTTCGGCGGCGGCGGCGCGCCGGGCTCGCCCGCGTCGGACGGGGACCGCTGCCGCTGCGCGAGCGGGTGGTGGCTCGGCAACAGCGGCGGCGGGTTCAGCGCCTTGTTCTTCGCGCGCTCCGCGGCCCGCTCCTTCTCCCGCTCCTTCTCGAGCTTCTCCTTCCGCTTCCGCTCCTTCTTGTTCTTGATGATCTCCGCCTTGTCCACGGCCTAAGGCGCGCGCGGGTCGAGGGCGGGCTCGGGGTTCCGCGTATCCGGGCGCGCGCGGCGCGCGCGCGGACGCGGCGGGCGCGCCGAGAAGGCGTGCGGATCCGCCTGGTACGGCGTGCGACAGGCGGGGCACAGGTTGTTCAGGTTATCCTTGATGTGGTGCCAGCACCACATGCAGACCTGCGGAAATCGGGCGTCGGGCGGCGGCGCGCGCGCGCGCGGCGCGGCGCCGGCGGCGCGCCTGGTACCCGCACTTGCACGGCAGGAAGTTCTGGTCGGAGATGTCGAGATCCTCGCAGCACAGCGGGCAGATCTTATCGTCCTCGTCCGACATCGTCCCGCGGGATTTGAATCGGGGCGCAGCTTACTCCGATCCAAGGGGGTCCGAGGGGCCCAGAATCGACGCCGTCGTCGACACAGGGGCTACCGCTCGGGTAGGGCGAACCGCGTGGGTTCGGGGGGGGCGCGAGAGGCGCCGGGGGTAGGCTGCGCCGCGCGGGACGGCAGACCTCGCCGAGACCGGCAGACGCTGGCAGGTCCACGGACGGCCCGCCGCCGGTCGGCCACAAAGACCCCCGGCGAGCACCGGCGCAAAAGCCTCGCAAAACGCGACGGACGCGCCGACGGCTCCGGATCACATTACGGCCGCGGCCAGGGAGAGGGCAACCGCGAGCGGGCCCAGCGCCCGCGCCGCCGGCGCGTCCGACGGCGCGTCGACGGTCAGGTCGACGAAGTCGTCCTCCGCGTTGCAGGGAATGTCGATGTCGCTCTTGTAGTTGTTCTTGTTTTTGCAGCACGTCGTCGCGACCTGCGGCGGCGCGGCGTGCGCAAAAAAAGCGAAAGCAACGGACGACGCACCCGGAAGCCCATGACGTTGTATCTGAACGGGCTCGAGAGCGGCACGCCGTTGCCCTTTGCGAGCTCGGTGTGGTTGGGCACGGGTACCTCTTGGAACTCGGCGTTGGTTCCCTCGTGGAAACCCATCGCCTGAAACTGCTCCTCAGTGGGGAAGCACTGCTCGTAGTGTGCGCAGGACTTGATCCGCGCGCATTTGCGCCACTGGTTGTGGACGATCGTGCCTTGGTGTCGATGGTTGTAGGTCTCGCAGACCCGGGTCGTGGAGCAGTACCACGGGCCGGCGCAGTACTCGGCGGGCTTGCCGGAGTGCAGGCACTCGGCGTCGCAGAAGACGGTGCGCTGCGAGGGTTCGACGGCGTAAAGAAAAGCTCCGGAAAACGCGAGCGCGAGCGCGTCGCGCGCGGACGCGGGGCGCCGACCTTGGAGTAGAGACCTTCGGCCCCACTGTAGCACTCCGTCTTGTCGTGCAGCTGCCACGCCAGATCGTCCGGCATGTTTTTCTTCGCGAGGCGAGCCGCATTATCGATCTTCTTGAAATATCCACTCTCGGTATTTTCCCACGCCTTCGTCGCGCCGAGGGGGTAGCGCTCCGGCTCGTCGTGGACGGCGGCCGCCACGAGCAGAAGGGCGAGGCGAACCATCGTCGGGGGGGGGGGGGCTCAGGCCGCGACGACGCGTCGACGCGCAAGGCCTTGACCTTGTGGCAGCTCAGCACTGCTCAGCGAGTGCACTCGAGTGGAGCCTCACTGAGGTCGCCGCGCGCGCGCCACCATGCCCAAGGCGCGGTTCACGCTGTCGGACGTCGCGGCCATGAGCCGCGAGGTCCTGGAGCGCTGCGGCGACTGGCGCGTCGCCCAGGTCTACGACGGCGACGGGCGGAGCTTCGTGTTCAAGCTGCAGCAGAGCGGCGAGGCGGGCAAGCGCCTCCTGTTGCTCGAGAGCGGCACGAAGTTCCTCGTGACCAAGTACGACGCGCGCGAGGGCGGCGGCGACATGCCGAGCGGCCTCTGCACGAAGCTGCGGAGCGCGCTCAAGGGCAAGCGGCTCAGCGACGTCCGCGCGATAGGCCGCGNCCGCGTCCCGCTCTTCCGCTTCGGCGCGGGCGTGACGTCCTTCCACCACGACTTCGTGGTCAGGGGCGCGCTCCGCGCGAACACGTTCGGCGACGGCGCGGAGCTCGAGGTCGGCGCGCCGTACCCCGTCGCGTCCGCGGCCGCGGGCGTGGGCCAGGCGCCGGCCGCGGACCCCCTCGCGGGCACGCCGGCGGCCGCGGGGGCGTCCCTGCTCGCGTTCCTGCTGGAGCTGCGCGACAAGCGCACCGCGCGCGTCGCGGCGACGCTCGACGACGACGGCCGGAAAAAAAAGGGCAAGAAGGGCGGCCGCAAGGAGCCGACGCTCCAGCAGCTGCTGCTCGACTACGGCAGCGGCGTCGGCAAGTTCGGCGCCGACGTCGTCGAGCACTGCCTGGCCGTCGCGGGGCTCGACGGCGGCGCGGCCGTCGCGGGCTTCGCGGAGGCCGACGCGGACGCGCTGGCCGCCGCGTGCGGCCGGGCGCCGGCGGTCTTCGCCGCCGTGGCCTCGGGCGCGAGCGCGGCGCCGCGGCTGATCAGAAAGGCCGGCGGCGGCTTCGAGTCCTTCGCGCCCGCGGCGTTCGCGCAACACGCGTCGCGCGACGTCGCGGCCTTCGACTCGTTCTGCGCGGCCGTCGACGAGTACGGCCGCGAGACGGCCGAGGCCAAGCTCGGCAAGGCGTCGGCGGACGCGACGGCGGCCATCTCGCGGCGCGTCGACAAGATCCGCCTCGACCAGGCGGAGCGGCTCGCGAGGCTCACGGACGACCAGGGCCGGCGCGAGCGCGACGCCGCGGCGCTCGAGCGGAGCGCCGACGCCGTGGACAAGGTGCTCGCCGTGCTGCGCAACGCGCTGGCGTCGGGGCTACGGTGGGAGGAGATCGACGACTACGTCAAGGACGAGCAGGAGAAGGGGTCGCCGCTCGCGCTCTTGGTGCACGACGTCGACTACGAGCGGAAGCGCGTCACCGTGGCCCTGCCCCGCGACGGCGACGCGTCGGACAGCGACGACGACGACGACGACGCGTCGTCGCTCGTCGTCGTCGACCTCGAGGCGTCCGCGCGCGGGTCCGCGAGGGAACTCTGGGCCGCGGCGAAGAAGGCGCGCGCCAAGGCGGAGAAGACGGCGACGGCGTCGGCCGCCGTCGTCGCCGCGGCGGAGAAGCAGAGCGAGGCCAAGCTCAAGGCGCGGCTCTGGCAGCAGGAGCACAGCGGTAAGCTCCGGAAGCAGCGCGACGCGACGCCGTGGTTCTGCCGCTACGCGTACTTTGCATCCAGCGAGGGCTACCTCTGCGTCTGCGGCCGCGACAAGCACCAGACGGAGACCCTGCTCTTCGGCGACCTGGCCATCCTGCGGCCCGGCGACGCCGTCGTCTGCTGCGACGCCGCGGGCGCGCCGCCGTGCGTCGTCCGCGCCCGGCCCGACCGGCGCGGCCTGAGCCCGCTCGCGCTCCACGAGGCGGGCTGCTTCGTCGCCTGCCGCTCCAGCGCCTGGGCGAAGCGCGACCGCGCGCCGGCCTGGTGGGTCTGGGGCACGGACGTCAAGAAATGCGGCGCGCGCGGCGCCGTGACCGTCGTCGACGCGCTCGGCGACTTCGCGGTCGCGCGGTCCGCGACGAAGACGTACCTGCCGCCGACGCAGCTCGAGCTGAGCTTCGGGCTGCTCTTCAAGCTCGACGACGACGCGTCCCGCGACCGCCACGCCGACGAGCTGGCGCTGCGCGTGCCCGAGGCGGACCTCGTGGCGCCGCCCGAGGCCGCCGCCGACGACGTCGCCGACGCGGAGCCGGAGCCCGAGCCGGAGGAACCGGAGGAACCGGAGCCCGAGCCGGAGGAACCGGAGCCCGAGCCCGAGCCGGAGCCCGAGGAGCCGGAGGAGGAGCCCGAGGAGGCGGCGCCCGAGGAGGAGGAGGAGCCGGAGCCGGAGGAGGTGTCGACGTCGAAGAAGCTGAGCGCGCGGGAGAAGAAGCTCGTGAAGAAGTTCGGCGGCGACGTCGTCGCCATGCGCCGGGCCGAGCAGGCGCGCAAGGCGAAGGAGGCGCGGTCCGCCGCGCGCGCCGGGTCCGCGCCCGCGGCCGAGCCCGAGCCGGCGCCGCCCGCGCCGCCCGCCTGGGGCGTGCCCAAGCCCAAGGCCCACGGCAAGAAGGGCCGCAAGGGGAAGAAGGGCCGCCGCGACGAGAGCAGCGGCGACGACTCCGACGGCCCGCGCGTGCCCCTCTCGAAGCGCGCCGTGCCCACCATCGCGAAGAAGTCGAAGGCGCGCGCGGCCGAGCCGGAGCCGGAGCCGGAACCGGCCGAGCCCGAGCCCGCGGCGCCGCCCGCGGCGCCGTCGGCGGCGGCGCTCGTCGACGGCACGGCGGCGGACGCCGTCGCGCGCCTCGGCCCGCTCGCGAAGACCGCCTGGGCCACATGCGTCGCGGCCGTCGACGGTTTGGCGCCCGAGACGATGGCCTTCGAGCTCGGCCGCCTCGCGCGGCTCGACGACGCCGTCGCCGCGGAGGCCCTGGCCCTCTTCCTCGAGGCCGACGGCGAGGAGGCGTCGCGGCGCGCGGCGGCTCTGGACGCCGCGCGGGCGCGGGCGAAGCGCGGCGGCGTCGAATTCGACGCGGCGCGCGACGCGCCCCAAGCGCCGCGGAATCTGCCCGCGCTCCTCGGCGGCATCGCGAAGCGCGTCGCGTCGGGCAAGGCGCGGCCCGGTGCGGCGGCCCCCACCGAGGACAAGGCCGTGCCCGCCGACGACGGCGCGCTGCTCCGGGCCTTCACGGGCGCGCCGAAAGACGGCGACGCGCTCGCGTGGGCTCTGCCGGTCTGCGCGCCGACGGCGGCCGCGCGCCACTACGCGCACGCGCTCAAGCTCCAGCCGGGGACCCAGAAGAAGGGCAAGGCCGCCAAGGACGCCCTCGAGATCCTCGCGCGGTCCTGCGACGACGCCGACCGCCGGGACCTCGTCAAGGCCGTCGACGTCAACGAGTGCATCCTCGCCTTCGTCTCGTCGACGAAGATCACGCACGTCGTCGCCAACCAGCTCAAGCAGGCGCGCAAGCACGACGACAAGATGGCCCGCAAGCTCAAGCGCAAGGAGGAGCGCTAGTAACGTCGTCTTACCCGGGCGACGGCACGGGCACCAGGAGGCACCCGAGGAGGCCCTGGCCCGCCCAGGCGCGCGGCGCGAGCTTGACGGCGCTTCGGGCCCCGCCGCGGTCGACGACGACGTCGAAGGCCTCGTTGACGTGCGTGAGCGTCCAGCGCTTGACGTCGCCGAGCGCGAACACGCCGCCGAAGGCCACGACGAGGTCGCCCTCCCGGAGCCCCGCGGCCGCCGCGGGCGAGCCCGGCCGCACCTCGGCGACGCGCGCGAAGGGCGCCGCGTCCGCGGGCGGCGGCGTGCCGGCCTCGGCCCGCGCGTCCGCCATCGCGACGTCGGCCGCCGCCGGCGCGTCCGCGGGCGCGAGCGCGAGCGGCAGCAGCGCTTCGATTCGCTTCATGAGCGCTTTGTGGTCCGTGCGCAGGCACGCGTGCCGGTGCCGCAGCTGCCGCGCGCGGTAGACGTCGATGTCCGCGCGCGGGTAGCCCTCGCCGTCGACGAGCGGCCCGCTGAGGCCGGGGCCCGCGGCGCCCGTCTCGGCGCTCGGGCTCGTGAGCTCGGCCTCGATGGCCTCGGCCTCGGCCTCGAGCGCCTCGCGCTCCTTCTGGGTTTGCTTCAGCTCGGCGCGCGCGTCCGACGACGACAGGAGCGAGGCCATGGTGGTAGCGGCGCGCGGCGCGTCGAGGAGCCTCGACCCGTAGACAGCGAGAGCGGCAGTGGCGAAACATTGGCCTTCAACTTGACGCTGATGATTTTCGGGGGCAGCCATCAGGTTTGACGCGTCGTCGCGCCGCCGCCGCCGACAACGCGCGCTCGTCGCCGAAGTTCACGCCGCAATGGAGACGGAGGAGGCCTCGAGCGGCGACGAGAGCGCGGCGAGCTCGAAGGTGTCGCCGCGGCGGCGCGCGCGGGCCGCGCGCTTTTCGGCTCCGTCGAGCAACCCGCGGGCGGCCCGGTCGTCGCCGGACGCGTCGCCGGCGGCGGACCGGCGGCGCCGCGCGCCGCCGCCCGCCGCGCCGCGCGCGCGGCGGACGTCGAGCATCCCCGGGTCGAGCCCGCCGGTCCCCGGCGCGTCGGACGACGACTCGGACGGCGCCGCCGTCGCGATCGAGGCGTCCTCGGAGGCGCCCGGCGGCGGCTCCGACGCCGGCGCCGGCGCCGGCGACGCCGACGACGCCTCGAGCAGCGACGACGACTTCGGCATCGAGGCCTTCGCGTCCGCGGAGACGCGCGCGTCCGACGGCGCGGCGGCGGCCGCGCCCGCGAAGAAGAAGAAGAAGAAGAAGAACTTCCCCTTCGGCTCGCGCAAGCGGCGGCGCCCGGCCGTCGTCGCCGCGGCGAAGCAGGCCGCGGCGAAGAAGGACAAGGCGCCGAAGATCACGCCGGAGCCCGTGCGCGTCGTGCCCATACCAGTCGGCGCGACGGTGAAGATGACCGACCCGCGCTTCCGGGGCCAGCGGGGCATCGCGCGCCGGCGGCGCCCGGCTCGTCGCCGCGTCCCCCCCCGACTCAACCTCCCCGCGCGCAGGTCGTGGAGAAGCGGCAGGCCTGGTACGCCATCAAATTCCCCGACGGGTCGGAGACCGCGGTGCGGAAGATGTACCTCACGGAGACGGCGCCGGAGGCCGAGGCGTGAGGGGCGGCGCGTCCCCCCCGCGCGAGGCCCGCGAGCCGGCGGCGCTCGGTCGCAACCGCACCGTAAGCTCGAGATGGCCGCGGCGACGGGTCCGCGGGAGCGCGCGCCCCCGGGTCGCTGCTTTTGTCGTGAGTATGCGCGCGGGGGTGTGTCGAAGGGGGGAGGCGCGAGGCGGGATTGGCGAGCTCACGCGAATTTGGCGTCGGGCGGGTTGATGCCGTGGTCGGCGATGAAGGCCGCGAGGTCCGTCGCGGCGCAGACGTACTCGTGTTCGTGCTTGACGTCGAAGATCTGGAAGACGAAGCCCCTGCCGAGGCCGTTGCGCCGCGCGGCGCCGGGGCCCTTGAACTTGAAGCCGGGCGCGCTGCCCCAGATCTCGCACTTGAAGAGGAGGTCCTTCCAGCCGTCGTGCGCGTCGGGCCAAAAGCGGCCCGGCACGGCGACGTGGGAGCCGCAGAGCCGCTCGCGGAAGCGGATGAGCGTCAGCGCGTCGTGGGGGCCGACCAGGGGCCAGCCCGCCGGCATGCCGCTCGGCGCGGGCGCGGGCGCCGCGGGCGCGGGCGCCGCGGGCGCGGGCGCCGGCGCGTCGCGCGTCGCGTCGGCGCCGGCGACGGGCGCGGGCGCCGGGTAGCCCGCGCCCGACGGGAGGTGGTCCGCGATGTTCGCGAGCGCGCGCGGGAGCTGCTTCCGCACGCGCTTCGGCGGCGCCGGCGGCGCCGGCGGCGCCGCGCGCTTCCGCTCCGACCCGGAGCCGTCGTCGCGCGCGGCCGCCGCGGCCGCCGGCGCGTCGTGCGCCCGGCACCGGTCGCAGCCGCGGTCGCGGCAGCGCGTGCAGCCGTAGACGGGCCGCGCCGGCGCCGCCCGCGGCGCGCGCGCCGCCGCCTCCTCGCGGGCGAGCGCCTCCGAGGCCGCGCGCGCGAACTCGCTCATCTCGACGGCCTCCTCGAAGGACGTGGCCGCGGCCTCCGCGTGGAGCCCCCGCGTCGAGATGTTCGCGCCCTTGCCCCGCGTCGGGATCGCGAACTCGTCGTCGTCCTCCGCCGCGGAATCGTCGACGACCTCCGCGCGCGCCGGCGCGTCGTCGTCCGTCGCCGCGAGGGCGCCGAAGTCGGCGTCGTTCGGCACGACGGACGGCGACTCGGGCGCCGCGAAGCAGGCCAGCGCCGCGTCGTCCTCGGCCTTCCAGCGCTCCGCGAAGCTCAGCGGCGCGACCTCGCGGTCCGCGCCCGCGACCTCCTCGTCCCGCCGCTTCCGCGGCGTCCCCGCGACCTCGCCGTCGACCTTCGCGGCGTCGTCGTCGTCGGAGATCTCGATGATCTCCGTGGCGGACGACGTCGCCGCGGGCTCGCGCCCCCGGTCCGGCGCCTCGCGGGGCCCCCACCGCCGCGGCGGCGGCAGCGCGCGCGTCGCGAGGTGTTCCGCGACGCGATCGCAGGACAATTCGTTGAGCGAAGAAAAGTCGATGGAGCTCGCGTGCCACGTGCGCTTCAGCCCGAGGATCTCGCGGCCGTAGATCGCGACGACGACGCCCTGCACCCCGGACGGCGGCAACCGCGCCACGGCCCGGGCGAGCGCCGCACGGCTCGCCTCGCTCCAGCTGCGCGGGAAATTCACGACCGGCGACGTCGGCATCGTTTCGTGTATCGTAGAGGTTCGTGTGTGGGAGAGGTGCGGTTTGACGTTGCGTAGGGCGGTGCGCGACAATGGGCGAAACCTCGCAGGGACGCCCTGCTCCCCGTGGACGTTGTGATTTGTGGAAATTTATCAGCGATTCCCGAAGCGCAAAATCATGACCGCGTCCGTCGGGCCGAAAAAAAACACCCCACCCCGAAGCCCCCGGAGCGCCCCCCGCTTTTCTACCCCGTCGCGCGGTCCGGGTCGAGGGCCGCGCCGGGCGGCGGGCTCCGCGGCGGCGGCTCCGGCGGCAGCACGGGCTCGGGCTGGCCGCGGAAGAGCAGCGCGGCGAGGAGGGCGCGGCAGGCGTCGAGGGCGCGGGACTTGGGCGTCGGCGGGCCCGGCGGCGGCTCGAGCTCGCCCTGGAGGCGCGCGAAGATCGCCGCGACCGCGCCGGCCTTCAACGCCCGTCGGAGGTTCGCGGGCCGGTCGAGGAGCACGTGGAGGAGCACCGCGACGGGCCGCAGGTAGGCGACGTAGGTCTCGCGGAGGTCGCAGACGAGCAGCACGACGAGGCACTCGTCGTCGAAGGACGGCAGGTCCCGGACGAGCCGCGTGCCCTCGTAGGCGAATTGGAACGCGACGGCGATCGCCGGCAGGTCCCGCCGGTTCTCGGGCTTGAGGGCGAAGCGGATGAGCTGGAGCTGCTCGGCGACGGGCTCGTTCTCGAAGAAGAGCAGCACCTCCTCCTTGAGGAGCGCCGCGTCCGGCTTCGGGCCCCGCGGCTTCGCGTCGCCCGGCGGCGGCGACGCCGCGCGGCGCCGGCGCCGCGCCTTGGACCGCGGCGGCCCCGCCGCGCCCTCGTCGTCCCGGGACGCCTTGGCGATGATCTGCTTGCGGATGCGCGACGCGCGCTTGAACGCGGCCCGCAGGTCCGCGTCCGCGTGCGCGCGGGCCGTCGCGGCGTCGGCGACGGCGGCCTCGCGGCGCGCGGCGTCGCCGGCGTCGCGCGCCTCGCCCGGCGCCCGGCGCAGCTGGCGCAGCTCGAAGGCGCGGAGCTTCTCCTTGACGCCGCGGGCCTTGGCCGCGTCCGCGGTCGCGGAGTCGAGGGCGCGCGCGAGGCCGCCCGTCGCGTCGCGCGCGGCCGCGGCGCGCACGGCGTCGCGGAGCGCGTGCTTCGACTCGGTCCCCTCGTCGTCGAGCTCCTCGGCGCGGGCGCCGCGGGCCTTGCGGCGCTCCGCGCGCCGCGACTTGCGCGCGGCCTTGTCGCGGTCGCGGCGCCGCGGCGGCCGCGGCGGCACGACGCCGTCGCCGTCGCTCGAGTCGCCGTCGAGGTACATGGACGGCCGGCCCTCCTTGGTCCGCGGCCACATGGCCCGCGTCGCCGCGACGTCCGCCTCGCCGGGCGTCCGCGGCGCGGCCGCGGGCTCGGGCGGCGCCCGCTCGGGCGCCGCGGGCGGCGCGTTCCAGTCGTGCGACGCCGCGCGGCGCTTGCGCTCCGCCGCCGCCGCGCGCGCGCGGCCCACGGCCGCCGCGCTCGGCACGACGGACGGCGCGTTCGACGCGTCGTCGCGTTCGCCGCGCGCGGCGGACGCGTCCGACGCGTCGCCGTCAGACGGCGCCGCGAGCTTGGCCGCGCGCCGCGCGGCGGCCGCGCGGCGCACGCGGCGCACGACGTCGGGCTTCGGCCGCGGCGCGGGCGCGTCGGACTCGGCCTCGGACGCCGTCGTCACGTCGAACTCCTCGGGCAGCCGCCTCCGCCGCGCGGCGGCCGCCGCGCGCGCGCGCGCGGCCGCCGCCGCCGTCGGCCGCCCGCCCGCGGCGAGCGCCGGGGCCAGCGCCAGCGCGGGCAGCGGGTCCTCGTCGGCGTCGTCGGCGACGGCGCGCGCCAGCGCCGAGCGCGGCTGCGGCTTGTAGCTCACGGCCTGGCGCGCGGCGAAGCCCTCGGCGGCGTCGGCGTACTTTTTGTTTTGGCGCTGGTGCATGGCGCCCATGCGCGCGTCCATGCGCTTCATCATCGCCTCCATCTCCTTCATCTGCGCGTCGGCCTGGTTCGTGAGGTCCTCCATGGTGGTGAGCGCTGGGCTGCCCGCGGCCCAGACCGCGTCCGTGAGAGCGCTGGGCTGCCCGCGTCCCAGACCGCGTCCCAGCCCGGCTTGTCACAGGGCTGCCCCCTCCCGCACCCGTCCAGATCACCCGCCCAGACCGGCGCCGCCGCCGCAAGCACACGTTGAACGTCACATTGAGGTTCAACGTACTCCGAAGCTCCGCATGAGGGGAGAAGCATGGAGAGCCTCTCTTTGCATTTGGCTGTCGCGCGGCGTTCGACGGGGCCATGGTCACGGGAACATGCGTCTGAATGCCGGGCGCGCCCTCTCTCCAGGAGTGTGCGCCGTGACCATGGCCGCGTCGGCGGTCGATTTTTATGTGCTCGCGAACTCGCTACTTTTCGACATGCTCTCTGACCGCCAGAGCAGCACTTTTTGGGCTTCGGGCAGCATGCTGGCTGGCGCGGAGGCTCGGGGTACACGTCTGGTGCCCTCGGGCTGCTCAGTTGCTGGTTTGGCTCGAAGTACGTGCGACACGCGCGCGCGGCCACGCGGCCGCGCGCGACGCGGTTTCAGCCCGAACATGTCAGATCGACTTCCTCGGCTCCTCTGGGCCAGCCCTTGTGGCAGGGCGCTCGCGGGTCGATGGCGGACGATCCCTGCTGCTGCGCGGGGCTGCCCGGGCCGCTCACGGGCCGGGGGAGGGGCGTCGCGTCGGTCAAATCGGTCGTCCGAAACCGCTCGCGTTCTCAGCGAATCGCAATCTAGACGATGCCGCTCCTTCGCCGATGGCAGCCCCCATGTGCGCGCTATGCGCAGTCCCAGCGATCTTGCACGCGGGGGCGCGCGCGCGGTGGTAGGCGCGCTCGACTAAATTTAATGCCTCCATGCCGTCTCGGGCTGAAATCAGCGGAACCAATTACATAGAGCGAGCCGATGAGCGGAACCAAACACATACAGCGAGCCGCCACGAAATAAATGCAACGGATAGGAAATCTCAGTGGTGCTTCCCCCCTAAGCTCCGCGAGCTCGTCGTCGTCGTCGTCGTCGTCGTCGCGTGCTCTCAGCAGAACTCCACAGCGGCTCTCGACGTGCGCGTCGTGCTCGCACAGCAGCTCTCCACAGGGCGCGCATCAGCAGCTCTCTCCAGCAGCTCTCGACGCGCGTTCTCGCCGCACTACACGCGCCGCCGCAGTCGCGTCTGCTTTACTCCCACCGCCGCACCATGGTCGTGCTGCACATGATCGACATCTGGCGCGAGACCGTCGACGAGCTCGGCGGGCTCAAGGGCTTCGCGTGCATCTTCGCCGGCATGTTCGTCTTCACGCTCGTCGTCCACTGGACCGTGGCCCAGGCGGGCAACCGCCGCGCGTTCAAGCGCATGAACCTCGAGCGCGCGCGCAAGTGTCGATGATGGGGCGCGCCTCCGATCGCTGCGCGGCGTCGGCATCTTACGGCGCGTCGCCGGCTTCCGCGGTCGGGCGGGTCCCGCCGCGTCGCGCGCTCGCGGCGCCTAAAGGCTGTGCCAACAAAACTCGAGTTTACGGGAGGACGCCCGCGAGGCCGGCGACGAAGGCCGCGGAGAAGGCCGCGTCGGAGAAGCGGTCGGCGACGAACGCGCGCGCGTTCGCGGCCATGGCGTCCCGCGTCTCCCGGGGCCCGTCGACGAGCGCCGCGAGCTTCGCCGCGTAGTCCGGCGCGTCCGTGGCGACGAGGCCGCGGTCGCCGTCGGCGCCGACGATGTCGAGGAGGGGCCCGCCGGACGCGTGGGCGAGGGGCACGAGGCCCGCGGCCATGAACTCGACGACGGCGATGCCGAAGTGCTCGAGGCGCATGGTGTGGAGCCCCACGTGGGCGCCGCGGAGCAGGTCCAGGATCTCGGACCGGGGCGCCGACACCTTGAACTCGACGGAGTCGGAGATTCCGAGGTCGCGCGCGCGGCGCCGGAGCCCGTCCAACAGCGCGCGGTCGTCCGCGTGCCGCGCGGCGCCGGCGACGACGAGCCGCGCGCGCCGGCGCGTCGCTTCGGGCAGCAGGGCCCAGGCCTCGAGCTGGAGGGCGTGGTCCTTCTCCGGCCGGAACTGCGCGAGCGACGCGACGACGACGGGCCCCCCGGAATCGCCGGGCCGGCCCTTCGCGATTTTCTCGAGGACGGACGTGTCGCAGGGCGGGTAGGCCAACGCGACGTCGTCGCGTCGCCAGATCTTTTCGATGTGGCCTTTCGTCCAGGACGAGTTGGCCATGACGGCGTCGCAGCGGCGGCCGCACCAGCCGTAGGCGACCGCGAAGAGCTCGTAGTAGAGCGCCTTGAGCTTGGGCAGCGCCAGGGCCAGGCCCCGGTTGTTGAAGGCCCGCGTGCCGAGGGCGCCGATCATGTCGCCGCTGATCGTCGGGTAGTGGACGTACGCGGCCGTCGCCGCGCCGGCGAGGAGCTTGGCGACGGGGAACGAGAAGCCGTAGCCCGTCGTGTCGACGAAGACGTCCGGCGGCAGCCGGAGCACGGCCTCGGCGGCGAGGACCATGGACCCCAGGGACTGGCCGATCATCGTCGCGACGGGGTAGAGGCCCGGCTCGCTCAGGCGCCGGCTTCGCACGTACACGAACTCGACGTCCGCGGGGACTGTGACACCGAATCGGTCCGCGGCCCTGGCGCGCATGGCCGCCGCGCCGACGCCGACGTCGCCCGTGTAGACGACGATGCGCGCGTCCGTGGCCTCGCGCAGGGCGACGAGGCCCACCCAGAGCACGCGCTCGCCGCCGCCGCCGGCGGCGCAGTGCGGGTGCAGGAAGGCGACGACGCGCTTGCCGCGACGGAAGAGCCGTCGCGCGCGCGCGTAGGCAATCAGCATGACCAGCAGCGCCGCCGCAGCGCCGCAGGCGTGGGCAGCGAGTGCGAGAGCCATCAGCTCTAGTCTCTAGATCAAGAACTGCAATATCGCGCACCACTTCAAATTGAAGTTCAACTTACGGCACCCTTCAAGATCTTGAGCACCCTTCCAGTTCACCTCGACTTCACCATGGGGTGTTGCTGTGGTCGGTGCGGGTCCACTTAAGCCCCGCCACTCAGCGCTCGTCGCGCGCGTCCGTGACGAGGCACAGCGCCAGGGCGGCGGCGAGGTCGTCCGGGTAGCGCGCCGCGTCGCGCGCGCGGTCGCCGGAGCCCGGCTCGGGCCGCGTGCGGTCGTGGCGGCCGTAGCCGACGTCGCAGGTCGTCTTGTGCGTGCACGCGAACGCCTTGCTCTTGAAGAGGTTGATGATGGACTTGGAGTTCGTCCAGAGGTCCGTGGGCTTCTGCTGGCGGCGGCGGCTGTCGACCGTCGCGAACTTGCACATGCACACGGTCACTCGCGTGAGGCCGAGGCCGCGCTCGAGCCGCTCCTTGGCGAGCGGGTGGTGGCGCATGAGCGCGGACGGGTTCTCCAAGCAGAAGATGGCGCGCGGGTTGGAAAGTTTGGTCTTCTCCATGATGGCGATGCATTTTTCCAATTCACGGTTGGCCCGACGCGCGTCGTCCGTGAAGCCCTCGATCCTCTCCCGGCTCCGGTGGTGCCCGCCGGAGAGGTTGCTCCAGGTCCGGCACTCGGGCGCGAAGAAGACGATGTCGTCGTCGGCGCAGCAGGCGTCGGAGAGGTCGAGGACGTCGGACGTGTCGTCCGCAGCGCACGCCGGGTCCCGGTCCACGGTCCGCGTCGACACCCCGCGGCGGCGCAGCTCCCGCGAGAGGACGCCGGAGCCCGCGAAGATCTCCGACGCGGCGAGCTCCCGCGGCGGCGGCGGCAGCGGCGGCGCGGGCCGGCTCCGCGCGGGCCCCGCGACGAAGCGGTCCGTGCGCTGGCGCTTGCGCACGGTCCCGTCCTCGTCGTCCGAGTCGGCCGGCGGCGGCGGCGCGTCGTCTTCGTCCTCCTCCGGCGGGTCGTCGCAGGCCGGCGGCGCGACGGTCCGCGGCGCGACGGTCCGCGGCGCGGCGGGCCGCGGCTCGACGCGCGGCGCGGCGGCCGCGATGGCCGCGGCCAGCCGGTCGTAGTCGGCGCGCGCGGCGGGCGTGTCGATGACGAACGTCTGCCAGCGCGACGCGGACAGGAACTTGTAGAACGGAAACGACAGGTCGAACTCGTCGTAGATATTTTTCAAGTCGCGGACCGTCGTCTTGTCCGGCACAGCGCGCCAGAACTTGCCGCGCGCCGACGCGGCCTGGATCTTGCATCGCCGCGGGAGGCACTTGAGGACGGCGGCGTCGTCGTCGCCGTGGTGGTCGAAGATGGCGTGGATGGCATGCACATGGTCAGCGCCAGGCTTGGTGGTCTGGGCTTTGATGGTCTTGTTCCCGATCGTGAAATCTGGAACCCACTGCGCGAATTCGCCATGGACGCCCGTCTCAGCGAAGCCCAAGCGCGCCATCTGCGTGTGCCGGAGTCCGACGTCCGTGCAGCGTGCTTGCGCCCAAGTATAGATGATCACACCTTTGCTCGGAGAGCGGCACCTCGAGATGTTGACGAGGTGAGTGAGGTAAAGATCAACCTTCATCCGTGTCGCACCTCGCCTCGGCTCTAGAACCGACCGTATTTTTAACGAGGCGAAAACAAACCCCAGGTAATCAGCAAATGTCGACCCCCAGCCCCCGTTCGCGCGTTCGCGCAAGCGCGGTCTCCGCCCATCGACACGCCGACCGTGACGGCCGCGTTCCACACGAAACAGGTCGATGGAGAGTGCTAAGGCCGCCGGACTCGTCCGGCGCGTCTCGGTTCGGATGGGGTGGGGAGTGTGGGGTTTTTCTCTCGGGCGGCGGCGGCGGCGCGGCGGCCCCCGCGCGGCGGCGGCGCCGCGCGCGGCGGCGGCCGAGCGGGCGCGCGCGCGCGGGCGCCGCGCCTACGGGTTGCCCTGCTGGCCGAAGTCGAAGGCCTTCTGGGGCGTGTTCTGCACGCCGAAGGCGAAGTTCTGGCCCGAGGCCTCGGGGACGATGTTCACGTCCTCCTCGTCGACGCCGAAGTACGTCTCGAGGATGCGGACGGCCTTCTCGTAGATGTCGTTGTTGTCGTGCTGCTGCAGGTCCTCGATCTTCTTGAGGCCCTCGGAGTCGGCGATGTGGTTGGCCATGAGGTTGTGGCCGCCCTGGGTCTGCTTCGCCTCCGCGTCGCCGACCTTGAGGATGTTCTCGAGCGCCTCGAGCGCGACGATGATGATCTTGACGTCCGCGACGGAGAGGAGCTCGCAGAGGGGCGGGATGCAGGCCTGCTGCACGAGGAACTTGATCTGCATGGGCGTGCCGCCCGACGTCGCGTTGGAGATGGCCCAGGCCGCCTCCTTGCGGATGTCGAACTCGGCGCTGTTGAGGAGCTGGACGAGCGGCGGCACGATGTTGCTGTCGATGACGCTCTGGATCTGGTCCTTGTTGCCCGCGGTGATGTTGCTGATGGTCCAGCACGCCTCCTTGCGGATGCCCTTCTTCGGGTTGCCCAGGAGCGCGTGGAGGCAGGGCAGCGCGGAGAAGTTGATGATGATCTGCGTCTGCAGGTCGTCGCCCGTGACGATGTTGCCCACGGTCCGGAGCGCGGGCGTCTGCACCGACGGCGACGGGTGCATGAGCAGCTCCACGAGGCGCCGGCAGACGCCGGCCTCGATGACGGCCTGGATCTTCTCGTTGGGGCCGTCGCTCAGGTAGGACAGCGCCCAGCACGCGTCCGTGAGCACCTCCTCGTCGGGCGAGTAGATGAGCTGCGCGAGCGTCGGCAGCGCGGGCCGCACGGTCATGAACTCGGGCTGGGGCTTGCCGCGGCAGAAGTTCGACAGGGTCCACGTCGCGTTGCGCAGCATGCTCAGCTTCGAGTTCTCGTGGAGCTGCTGGAGCAGCGGCTGCATCGCGCCCTCGCGGAGCACGAGGTCGCGGCACGTCGGGCTGTCGCCCGCGATGTTGCCCAAAGCCCAGACGGCCTGCTCGCGCACGTCGTCGTTGGGCGACAGGAGCAGGCGGCAGAAGATGGGCACCGCGCCCTCCTCGATGACGACGCGCGTGTGGTCGCTCGTGCCCGACGCGATGTTCGTCAGAGCCCACGCGGCCTCGAACTGGAGCGCGGGCGACTCGTCCTTCTGCAGGAACTGGACGAGGCGCGGCACGACGCCCGCGTCGATGACCATCTGGATCGGCGGGTTCCGCTCGATGGACAGCAGCTTCCGGAACTGCGTCGTCGCCTCGAGGTGGACCTGGCGGGGTCGCGCGTCGGAAGCGGCGCGGCGTTTTTTAAATCATCGACGCCGGGCCGCGCGGAAGGGTCCAGCGAGTGCACGCCCGCGACGAGGTTCGGCAGCTGTTCGAGCTGGGTAAACGTAGGGGTGGGCAAAAAGGAGGCGCGGAAGCGGGGGCGGGTCGGGGGGACCGCGCGCGCGCGCCGCCGGGGGGGGTCGGGGGGTCCGCGGCGCGCGCGCGCGCGCGGGCGGGGCGGGCGAGGGACTACCGCACCTTCTGCACGACGGCGGCGTCCATCTGCTGGGCGCCCTGGGCGCCGCCCTGGTTCGGGTTCACCGTCGCCGTCCGTCGCTTCTGGAGCCGCTCCTCCTTCTTGTTTTTTCTAATCTGGATCGTCGTCTCCTCGCGCCGCCGCCGGCTCTCGTCCTGGTCGACGCCCTTCTTGTACGTCTGCTTCCGCTGCGAGGGCGCGAAACGCGCGTTGGCGACCGCAGGCGCGGCGCGCGCGGGGGGCGCGATCGCGGCGCGCGGGGGTTCCGGGGTTCTCGGCAGTGCTCACCTGCGCAGCCGCGCTGCTCGCCATGGCCGACATGCTCCTGGCCGTCTCGGGGAACGCGCCGCGCTGCCTCTGCGAAGGCCTAGTCGCCCGACGACGCCCTGTCCAAACTCAGGCCTCGCGAAGCGGCGGCGCGCGGCGCCGCCGACGGTCGCCGCGCGAGGCGTCGCGCGGTGGCGTCGTCCGATGCCTCGCTGGGGGGCGACGTGAGACGCGCCCCGCGGAGCCTGGCATCCGGATTGCACGGAAGCGAAAAGCGAGGGCGCCCGAGCTAAGCCAATGCCGAGCAGCCGCGCGGACCGTCACGCCGTCCGCGGCGGCGGCCACCTTGCCGCGGAGGAAGCAGCGCCGCGAAACAAACAACGAGCGAAGCGACTTTAGGCCCTAGGCGCGCGCGGAGACGATGACGTTGTCGATGAGCCAGAAGCCGTCCTTGGAGGCCGCGTCGCAGGCCTCCTGGCAGTCGTCGCCCGTGCGGAGGCTCAGCGCCCACTTGGTCTTGGACCAGACGCCGGACTTGTCGTCCTGGAGGCGCACAGTCTGGTAGGCCTTGGTGCCGTCCATGGAGAGGCTCATGGTGCCGGCGAAGACCATCTGGCTCCAGTTGAGGAGCACGTCGTACTCAGAGTCGAGGACGAAGTTGACGAACGCGTCGCCGTCGACGGCGTCGACGCTGCGGAAGGACGACGCCGGGCTCAGGAAGCGCAGGAGCGTCTCGACGCCCCGGTTCTCCGACGCGCCGCCGTCGCCGGCGCCGTCCTTGAGCGCCTTGAGCACGCCGGAGATGACCTCGCCGGGCGTCTGGCCGCTGCTCGGCGCAAAGTCCGAGTAGTCCTGGGACGTGAGCACGGGCGGCAGCATGCCCGTCGTCAGCGACCGGTTCTCCAGCGCCTCGGCGAGCTTCTTCGACACCATGGGGAAGTCGCCGCTCTTCGATAAAGCGTCGTAAATCTCCTCGTCCGCGACCTTGGCGACGACGACCTCCTCGCGCCGCGCGCTCAGCGCCGCGTACAGATCCTTGTTCTCGTCGGCGTCGAGCACCTCCTCCACGGAAGCCTCTGTATTCCGCCGCCCGATGCGGTTCCAGAGCCGCCGCGCCATCTGCCGCTTGAAGCCGGGCTCGCCCTCGGCGGGCTCGCGCGGCGCGTCGTTTTCGTCGTTGTCCGCGGCGCGGCGGAGCGCGCGGTGCCGCAGGACCGGCGAGCCGACGAAGCCCGACGCGGCGACGGCGAGGAGCGCAACGCGCCACTTCCTTCTCGATTGGACCATGGCCGCACTGCAGTGCTCGATCTCGCCGGCACACACAGCCTACACACGCTACGGCCTCCGCCCCACACACAACACCACCGCGTCGATGCGGCGTCGAGGAGGGGGTCGTTAGGATCGAAGGGGAGGGGAGGGATCGTCGCGCGCCGCCGCCGCTCCTACGACGAGTTGAGCTCCGCGAGCTTCACGAGCCGTGCCGCGGTCTCCTTGGCGAGCGTGGCGCACGTCGCCTTGGACGCGTCGTCCGTGCACATGCCCGTGCTCTCGAAGAGGGCCATCTGCGCGGGGAGCGCGCCGTCGGGCCCGCGCGCGCGCGCGCGGCGTCCGAGGCGCGGGCGGCGACGAGCTCGACCTCGATCGTGGGCACGTCCCCTTTCAGCTCCTGGAGGTCGAGGTTGCCAATGTCGTCGTGGAGGTCGTCCTCGTCCGAGACGCCTGCGCGACGCCGGCGCTCGGGGGGCGCGCGGTCCGGGGCGGCCCCGGACGACCCCCGGCCGCTCGGCGCGCGCGGTCCGCGGCGGCCGCCGGCCCGCGTTTCGGCGCGGGAGCCGCGCCCTTGAGTTTCATGAGGACCTGCTTCAGGTCGTTGTCGATCGCCTCGAGCTCCTTCCTGCGGCGGCGGTGGGGTGACGAAACGCCGGCGGCGCGCGACGGCTGCCCTTTCCTCTCCCCGAGGGCCGCGGTCGCGGCGGCGTCGCGACCGATGTGGCGACGCGGCGTCGCGCAGAGCCTTCATGTCGTACTTCGCCGTCAACATAGGGTTCGACATCGTCCCGCTGGTCTCAGATGGACGATCACCGGCGGCCCAGGCGCCTGGAGGCGCTCGCGACAATCGGGCAGCGTACGGCCGTATCCACTGCACCCAAGCACACGTTGCACTCTGTAACAAAACTCACACAGCATGGCCTCCTCGCAAAGAGCACTAGCCTCACTGCTGTTCCTGCTCGCGCAAGCCCACTGTCTCGAGCGGCTCAAATTCGTGACGAACGTGCGCAGTCCGACTGCGAAGCAGGTCGGCTGTCCCTATGCGCAACGCGTCTGGATGGCGCTCGAGCTGACAGAGGTGGACTACGAGCGCGTCGAGATCGACCTGCGCGCGAAGCCGGACTGGTTCCTGGAAGCGTCGCCGCTGGGCCGCGTGCCCTGCATCATCGACGCCGAGGGCACCGCGATCGTCGAGAGCATGGCGCTGGTCGAGTACGTCGACGAGATCTCGCCGGGCCGCGACCTCACGCCGGCCGCGCCGGCCGCGCGCGCCGCCGCGCGCGCGCTCGCGTGGCGGTGCGACGCGCGGTTCGTGCCGCGCGGCTTCGCGTTCCTGTGCTACGGCGGCCGCGGGCGCCGAGACGCGTTCGTGGACGAATTACAATTCCTCGACGACGCGCTCCGCGGCCGGCGCTTCCTCGCCGGCGACCGGCCGGGCCTCGCGGACGTCGCCTACGCGCCCTTCGTCGAGCGCCTCGAGGCCGCGCTCGGCGCGCATCGAGGCGGGAGCGTCCGCGACATTTCACACGCACACAACCTCGCGCGCGTCGCGTCGTGGTTGGACGCGCTCGACGGCGTTTCCGCGTACGCGGCGACGAAGTGCGCGGGAGCCGGTGAGATCGCCGCCGTCTACCGGCCGCGCGCGACGCGGCGGATGTCCTACCTCCGCCAGTAATACGGGGGGCTTCGAGCGCGGCGGGTATGGCCTCAGGGGATGGCGGCCGTCGCGGCGTCGAGCGCGGCCTGGGCCGCGGCCGGGTCCGTGGACCGGACGGTGACGAGCGCGGCGCGCGTCGGGAGGAGCTTGACGTGGAAGAGGCAGGGCGCCCCGCTGGGCGCGTGCGCGGCCGCGAGGATGAGCTCGTTCGTCGCGGGGATGGCCTCGACGGGCCGCGCGTTCGCGCGCTGCAGCTTCGCCGCGAGGCCGTCGAGGCCGAGGTTCGGCGGCGCGGGGCACTCGCGCTTGCGCTCGTGCTTGGACGTGCCCCACTTGGCGCCGAAGTCGTTGGTCGCGAGCGCGAGCGGCGAAAAGGGCGCCGGCGCCGCGGACACGCTCAGGCCGGAGAACGCCGCGAGGAGGTCCGCCGGCGGCGCCGCGGGCGGCGCCGCGGGCGGCGCCGCGGGCGGCGCGTCGTCCGTGAGGTCGAGGAGCGACGGCTCGGGCGCCGGCGGCGGCGCGGGCGCGGCCGGCGGCGGCGCGGGCTCGGGCTCGCGGTCGAAGTTGCGCGCGGCGGGCTGGCGCTGGAAGCGCGCGGGCGCCGGCGCGGGCTTGGGCTTCGGCGGCGGCGCGCCGCCGCCGAGGACGCCGCCGAAGAGCGCCGCGGCCATGCGCTCCTTCTCCTCCTGCTCCGCGGTCTTCTCCGCGGGCGCGGCCGCCGCGGGCGGCGCCGCGGCCGGCCGGTCGTAGCCCCCCTGCGGCGGCGGCGCCGCCGCGGGGGCGCCCCCGCCAAAGGCCGGCGCCGGCGCCTTGGGCGCGCCCCAGGGGCCCGACGCGGCCGCGAGGCCCCCACCGCCGAGGCGGCCGCCGATCGCGTTCGCCTTGGGGTTGAAGGACCCCGGCGGCGGCGCGCCGCCCTCCGAAGCCTGCATGGCCGCGGCGATGGCCGCGTCGTTGGACACGTCCACGGCGAAGTGGTTCTGGCCCGGCGCGGCGCCGAACGACGGGTCGCGGACGTTCGGCGAGAACGTCGGCTTCTCCGGCTTCGCGTAGGCCTCGAACTTGAAGCCGCCCGCGGGGCCCTCGGCCTCGTCCTCGTCCTCGTCCTCGTCCTCGCGCGGCGGCGCGTAGGGCGCCGCGCCGGCGTTGAGCGCGGACGCGACGAACTTGTCGAGGAAGCCCAGCGCGTCGTCCGCGTTCCGCGACCCGTCCGGCCCCTCGGAGACGACGCCGTCCAGCGGATCCTCGAGGGACGCGTCGTAGGGGAGCACGTCGGCCAGTAAATCGGGCTCGAGCTTCGCCGCGTCGATGAGGTTCAGGCATTCCAAACTCCGCTGCTGCAGCTCGAGCTCCGACGACGACACGAAGCGCTCCGCGAGCTTCGCCACGACGCCCTCCACGGCGCCCGCGCCGCCCTCGAGCTGGGCGACCATCTTCAGCAGCGCCGTCACCAGCAGGGACCGCGCCTTGAGCGACCCCCTCAGCCGCGCGTCGTCGAACGCGAGCTCCGCGACGGCGACGGCCAGCGCGTCGAGCGGCATGCAGGTCGCCAGGGCGCCGTACTCGCCCAGCACCCAGGCGAGGATGTGCAGCAGCGCGTCCGGGATGGCCTCCCAGTCGAGCATGGCCGCGAAGCGGTCCACGGCCGCGGGCCGGAGCTCCGACTCCGCGTCGCCGTCCTCGCCGCCCTCGGCGATCAAAGCTACTAAATTCTGGGACACCTCGGGCTGGACGAGGTCCCCCGCGAGCTCCATGACCTTGATGACCGTCGACACGTACCAGTCGTTCGACGGCGCGAAGCGCTCCGCGGCCGTGCAGAGCCGCGACACGAGCGCGGACCTCAGGAACTCGTCCGTCGACGACTCCAGCGACTGGAGCAGCTTCGACGCGATGAATTCGACGTTCACGGGGTTCATCATGCGATAGAGCAGGTCCAGCGTCTTGCGCTTGAGCGTGTCGTCGACGTCCTCGAGGCACTCGATGACCGCCAGTTGGTGGTCCGCGGCGTACTTCGGGTGGCCCTCGACGACCTGCGCGAGGCCCGTGATGCCCAGGTACTTGAGGTTGTGGTTCTCCGACTGGAGGAAGCGGGAGATGGACCGGGCCGCCTCGTCCAGCAGCGTCGAGTTCGGGTAGACCGTCGTGATCGTCCGCACGCACTCGTAGACGATCGCGTAGCCGACCTGGGCAGCAAAAGGGTGATTCAACGTCGCTTCAATGTGAGTGTTCCGCGCGCGCGCGTTCCGGAAACAGCATCTACGCTTCGAACCGTTCCGAGAGATGATCGCTCGTCCAAAAATCAGCCGAAACGAGTGGAAAACGGCCGAGATATGAGCCTTTGAAGTTGGGAATTTTGCTCTCTTTTGCTGCCCTGTAGCCGACGTTGATGCCCGTGTCCGCGCGGCGCATGACGTCGCTCAGCACCTCGTACATGCCCTCGGACGCCGCCTGGTCCGCGCGGCCCAGGTGGGCGAGGACGCGCAGGAGCCGGAGCTGGGCCCAGGGCGCGGGGATGCGGTGGTAGTCGAAGTCGCGCGGCAGGCGGTGCTCGACGACCTGCTTGAGGATGGACACGAAGGACGGCACGAGCTCCTTGAACGCCGCCGGGTTCGCGGCGATCATGTCGTGCAGCAGGCACAGCGCCGCCGTCATCACGCTCGGGTCCTTGTCGCAGAGCGTGCGCCGCATCGTGTCCGCGAGGTGCTCGACGGCGGACGCGTCGAGCTGGTGGAACCGGTGGAGCACCATGACGACCTTCTTCCGCACGAGCTCGCGGCCGTGGGCGCAGAGCTTGACGACGTGGGCCGTCAGCGCCGGGATCATGTCCGCCGTCGCCAGCCGGAGCGTCGCCGTGAGCGCCGCGCCGACCTCCAAATAGTTCGCCGACGCCATGTCCTGCTGCAGCTGGTTCACGAGCATGAAGCGGAACTCGTGCGACGGGCTCAGGCACAGCCCGCTGCACAGGTAGCCCACGCGCTTCTGCACCAGGTTCTTCGCCGCCGCGAGCTCGATGGCCTTGATGTAGCCGAACGACGCGTCGTGGCCGAGCATCTCGACGTAGACGAGGCGGATGAGGAACTCCTTCATCTTCTTCTTGGACACGTTCGCCTCGGGCATGCGCTTTTTGAGGGTGGCCACCTCCTCGACGATGATGTTGTCCTCCTGCTGCTTCGACTTGCTCTCCCCGATGGCCTTGACGAGGTCGAAGAAGTCCTTGCTCAGGTGGCTGCCGGACATCATCTCCGCGCGTGTCGCGGCGCGGGCGCGCGCGCGGCTTCTTGTCTGGTTCGAGGGAGCGGGAGGTGCGCGCCGCTTCGGCGAGGCGCGGGTCGCGCCGCGGCCGCTCGGGACGACGAGCTTGGTCGCCGCGCGTCGACGCGATGGGCCTGCTTTCAGTGGCCGCGCGCGAGAAAAATGCTTGTGGCAAACTTCATCAATGTAGGTTGAAGTTTTGCTAAAGCGCCTCCGTCGGGCGACAGGAGCGCCTCGACGCAGCGTCGACAGCAGCAGCAGCAGGTCGACGAGAGCAGCAGCAGCGAACGACAGACACCAGACAACAACAGCAGCAGCGTCGAACAGCAGCGCAGCACCGGCAAGCAGCAAACCAATAAACCATGACCGACGGCGAGCGGTGCGCCTGCGTGCTCGCGGCGCAGCGCCTCAAGGCCGCCGTGCTGGACTACAAGTTCTTCCCCAACGACTTCACGTCGCTGGCCGCGGACGCCGTCGAGGCGTGCCTGCCGCGCGAGCTCGCGGCCGGCGGGAGCTGCCACAGCAAGGTCCTCGGCGTCGCGAGCGCGCTCGACGGCACCTACGCGGCCTTCTACCGCGTCGACGCGGCGAAGCTGGGCAGGAACGAGTTCGGCTACGGCCGCGACCTGCGCTTCACGCTCGGGCGGCCCGGCGCGTGGACCGTGCCCGCCTGCGGCTACGAGTGGTCCGGCGACTGGGACGTGCGGAAGCGGCCGTGGCTCAAGAAGGTCGGCGGCGACGGCGGCTGGAGCCGGCCCTACGCGGACCCCGCGACGGGCGACCTGCTCGAGAGCTACGTGCTGCCCCTGCGGCGCGACGGCGCCGTCGTCGCCGTCGTCGTCGCCGGCACGTTTCCCGTGGCGTCGCGGAAGCCCAAGCGCGCGGCCGAGCCCGACTGGGTCGCGCTCCCGGACCCCAAGCTCAGGAGCCGCCTGCTCTACGCGAATCCCGTCTGCCTCCTCACGACCTGGGGCTTCGCGGACGGCGCGTGGACGCGGAACGCGATGACGATCTCGTGGCTGACGTGCATGAACAACGCGGGCGACGTGCTCCTCTCGCTCAACACGCGGCGCCACTCCGCCGCCGCCGTGGTCTCGGGCCGCGACTTTGGGTTATCGATCCCCACGGCGGACCTCGCGGCGCTCGTCTTGGCCGTCGGCGGCCGCTCGGGCCGCAAGGGGCCCAAGTTCGGCGCCGTACCGGGCCTCGCGGCCGTCGCGCCGGACGTCGCCGAGGCGCCGAAGAACGGCTTCGCCGCGCTCATGGACGACTCGTCCGACGACGACGACGCGCCCGCGGCGTCGCCGGACCGCCCGCCGCCGCTCTTCTACGTCGGCGGCTGCGTCGCGCGGCTCCGGTGCCGCGTCGCGGCCGCGCTCGACGGCGGCGACGACGAGCACCACGTGCTCGTCGCGAAGATCGAGGACGCCCACGTCCGCGAGGACTACTGGGACGGCAAGACGTTCGGCGCGGAGAGCGCGGACCTGCCGCCGTTCCTCGCGTTCCTCGGCTCCCAGACCTTCGGCCACGTGGCCCGGTAAGGCGCTTAGGACGACGGTGTTCGTCGCCGCCGCGCGTAGTGGCGCCGGTAGTCCTCGAGGAGGCCGTCCGCGGGGTGCGCGTCCGTCGCGTTCGCGGCGGCCTCGTCCGGGGACGCGGCGCGGAGCCTCTCAAGGTGCGCGCGCTGGACTTTGGCCCAGGTGTGGGCCTCGGAGATGCGCTCCTCGACGCAGCGGCCCGGGTCCGGCAGCGCGCAGACCTTGGCGGCCTGCGCGACCGCGCGCCACGCCTTCGACGGGTGCTCGTAGCGCTCGTACGCGCGGCGGCCGTCGCAGATGGGCGTCGCGACGGGCCGGCCCTTCTTCACGAGGAAGGAGAAGCGCGCGTCCTTGCGCTGGCGCGCCGTCGCCCGGCCCCGGTCGTTGTTCCACTGGTCGCGCGCCTTGCTGTTCGCGTGCGGCGCGTGCGTGACGAACGCGCGCTTCACCGTCGCGAAGGTGTAGTTCGCCGCCCGCAGGTTGTAGATCCACTCGAGCTTGTTCTTGCCGTAGCCCGTGTAGCGCTCGTCGAAGGCCGGCGGGTCCTCGGCGTCGCCGCAGGCGCGGACGACGACGTAGGGCTCGAACTTCTCGCCGATGAAGCAGTCGAGGCGGTTCGGCGCGTCGCCGCGCTTGCCCGCGAGCTTCGACTCCGCGAGCCAGCGCACGAAGCGCGTCGAGCCGTGGTGGTGGAAGGGGTGGCAGTAGACGTCCGGCAGCGAGTCCACGACGACCTTCCCGCCGACGAAGCGGTACGCGTTGGGCCGCCCTAGGCACTTCTGGAGCTCGCTCAGCGAGTTGGGCACGTCGCTCTCCTTGACGTCCTTGATGGCCCGGCGCTGGTTCTCCCAGCGGCCGCTCTTGGCCTGCTCCTCGCTGATGTGGCGGTAGTCGAGCACGAAGGCCGGCACGACGAGCGCGGCCCGGTCGCCGCCGCCCGCCGCGAGCGCGGCGTCGATGGCGCCCCGCGTGTACTGCGACGGGATGAAGTCCACGTCCAGGATCCAGGCGTGGGACGTGCGCACGGCGCGGAACGCGACGTTGCGGAGCAGGTTCACGGGGTAGTCCTTCCGCGACGGGTGCTCCATCACGGTCTCGATGGCCGCGTGCGAGCACCGCTTCGCGGACGACGCCGCGTCCGACCGGATGCGCTTCGCGTCGCCCCCCTTCTGGACGTGGATGGCCAGCGAGATGCGGCCCCGCCAGCGATCGCAGATGAGCCGCAGGTTCTTGAGCCGGCCGACGGAGGCCTGCGTGACGATGGTCACGCCGGGCGGCGCACCGCCGGACGCGTCGCAGGACGAGATGCGCGACGCGTTGCGCGCGCCGGCGCCGGCGGCGACGGCGGCGCAGAGCGCGCCGACCACGCAGAGCCTCATCATGTGTCTCAGACGTCTAGAGAGACGTCGCGAGCACGAGCTTCATATTATTTCGATGGGCAGCCTCTGGCTTGCACGGCAATGAGCAGCGATCGCCGACATGTTTCCCTTCTTGCCACTGGCACAGCTGTGCAGCCGCTCTCGCCACAGCGAATCGCGCCGCGTCGCGTGTCGCGTTATGGCCGCGCTGACGACCATCGTGCCGGACATCATCTGGGCGCAGCGCAAGGACGCGCTCTACGTGACGGTGAAGCTCGCGGAGGCGACGGACGTCAAGGTGGACCTCACGGCGACGACGCTCGCCTTCTCCTGCGAGTGCGACGAGAAGAGCTACGCCTTCTCCGCGACGTTCTTCGCGGAGGTGTTGCCCGAGGAGAGCGTCTGGAAGGTCCACGGGCGCAACGTCCAGATGCACGTCGTCAAGAAGGACCAGGAGGCCGACGAGCACTGGCCGCGGATGACGACCGACAAGGCCTTCGAGAAGCGCCACGTCGCCTGCGACTGGAGCCGCTACGTCGACGAGGACGAGGAGGCCGGCGACGACGGCTTCGACATGTCGGCCCTCGAGGGCGCGGCGAACTTCGGGTCCGCGGAGGGCGACGAGTACGAGCCCGACAGCGACGACGACGTCGACCTCGGGGACCTCGACCCCGACGACGACGACGACGACGACGACGCGCCGCCGCCGGAGCCGGCCCAGCCGAAGATCCAGGAGGTCTAGGCGCCCGGTTCGTGTTAAGCGGCGCTTTTTTGCCGGTCACGCCTCGCCCTTCGCGTCGAAGACGCGGAGCGCGGGGCGGAAGTCCGCGCGGCGGAACCGGACGCGCGTCGTCGTCGTCCGGGGGTCGTCGAGGGCCTTGGCCGTCGCGCGGCCGCCCGTCGACGCGAGGAAATCCAGGAGGTTCCGCATGGCCGCGCCGCGGCGCTCGAGGCGGCCCGGCGACGCCGGGCCGTCCGCGTCGCCCGGGACGCTCGCGTCCTCCTCGGACGACGACGACGACGACGCGTCGTCGTCGCCGGACCGCCGCGCGCCGTCGCCGTCGCTGTCGTCGACGAACTCGCGGAGGCCCGCGCGCTCGCGGCGCGCCGCGCCCACGCGCGCGGCCTCGGACTCCTCCTGGAGCCGCCGCTGGGCCTCGGCGGCGTCGCACCACTCCGCGCCGCCCGCGCTCGGCGGGTTCGAGGCGTCGCCGCGGGGCCCCCGGCCGGCCGCGGGCCGCGGCTTCCGCCGCCGCCGCCGCCGCCGCCACGCGCGGCGGCTCGCGACGCAGGCGTGGCGCTGGAAGTCGTGGGGCAGGACGACGGTGACGCCGAAGGTCGCGTCGCCGTCGCCGAGCGAGCCGCGCGAGAGCGTGTCGTCGTCGCCGGCCGCGCTCCCGCGGCGGCGGCCCGGGTCCGAGCCGTCGTCGCCGGCCTGGTCGAAGGCCGACGCGAGCGACTCGCGGACGCCGTCGCGGTCGTCCGCCCCGCGCGCGCTCGCGAGGGACCCGCGCGAGTCGCCGTCGTCGTCGTAGAGCGAGCTGCCGCGCGGCGCGACGACCAGGTCGAGCGACGCGTCGACGACGGCCGCCGCGCGGCGCTCGATGGCGCGCCGCGCCGCGCGCCGCGGCCGCGGCGCCGCGGCGCCGAGCGCCGGCGCGCAGGCCCGCGCCGCGCAGAGGAGCAGCGCCGCGCGGACGTCGAGCGCGCGCGGTGGCCGCTCCGAGAACTCGCCTAAATTCGCGGCGATGAGCTGCGCGCAGGCCGGCCGCCGCAGCAGCGCGTCCTCGAGGTGGCCCAGCGCGACGTGCTCGTCGTCGTCGCCCGGCGCGAGCGCGTAGCGGTCGTGGTCGCGGCACCGCTGCGTCGACGTCGGCCGGCCGCTGCCCGCGCCCGCCGCGAGCGCGCCGTGGACCGCGAGGGCGCCGTGGAGGTTCAGCAGCGTCGCCGCGCGCGCCGGCGCGCCGGGCTCGCGCTCCGCGAGGGGCTCGCAGCTCCGGAGGCGGCCGACGACCGCGCGGAAGTCGCGCCACGCGGACGTGTGCAGTAGAGCGTTGCGGTAGCGCGCGAGCGACACCCAGCAGCCGCCCGTGGACCCGTCGGCGACGTGCAACCCGCCGCGCGGCGCCGCGTCGGAGGGGCGCCGCGACGCCGCGGGCGCCTCCGCGGGCGCGAGGTCCGACGGCCGGCCGTCGTCGTCGTCGCCGTCCGCGTCGTCGACCGATAAACGGCTCTGCGCGCGGCTCGCGCGGAGCGCCGCCGGCGGCAGGCTCGCGGAGATGCGCCGCCCCCGGGGCGTCGGCGCCCCGTGCCCCCGGGGCGTCGGCGCCTTGTCGCTGATGACGAGGTCGAGGACGCCGTCCTTCAGGCTCAGGATGCCCTGCTTGATCGACTGGCGGCTGAAGCGGCGCGCGGCGCTCGGCGAGTCGGGCCCTGGCGGCGCGCGCTCGGACGCCTCCAGCGCCGCGACGCCGTCGCCGCCGGCGATGAGCCTCGCGTCGTCCTGGCCGTCGAGGCGCTCGAAGCGTCCGTCGTCCGCGTCGCAGCGGTCGCCCGCGGGCGCGCCCGCGGCCGCGAGCATGGCGGCGAGCAGCGCCGCGGCGGCCCGGGCGACGTCGGCGACGTCGCCGCCGAGCTCGAAGGGCGGCGGGTCGGCGGGCAGCCAGTTGAGCGCGGGCGCCGCGTTGTCGAGCGCGAGCGACCGCGCGGCCGCGCCGCGGCGGCGCGCGTCGTCGGCCGCGGCGCACGTCGCCCAGGTCGCCGTGAAGGCGCCGGCGTCGTCGACGGCGGCCACGAGGTCCCAGCGGTCGGCGCCGCCGGCGACGACGTCCGACTCGAGGAAGAGCCTGACGGTCTCCGCAAACGCCGGCGCCGCGAGCGCGAAGCCCAGCGCCGCGTTCGCGTCGGGCACGGCGTCGGGGTCGTGGCCCCAGCGCAGGGGCCGGCCCGGCGGGGACCAGGCGCTCGCCGGCGGCCGGGGCCGCGGGAGCTTCGGCGCCGCGTCGGGTTCGGGCGCCGCGCGGCCGACGAGGCCCGCGAGCGCCCGCAGCTGCGCGAAGGACTTGGCGCAGGTCCACTTGAGCTCGCCGTCCTCGAAGACGCGCACGCGGTAGAGCACGCGGCCGCTCGCGAGCGTGCCGTAGGTCTCGCGGAACGAGTCGGCGATCTTCGCGACGGCGCAGACGGCGACCGCGTTGACGTCCGCGGACACGGCCCCGCCCCCGAGGAGCGTCGGCGGCGGGCCCGGCCCGTCGTCCTCCGGCGCCGCCGGCTCGGGCGCCGTAAGGTCGGCGTCGCCGGGCTCCTCGGGCGCCGCGAGGAGCGCGTTCGCGAGCGCCGCGCGGCGCGACGCCGCGAGCGATTCCGACGCGCCAAAGGTCACGAGGCGCTCGAAGTGGGCCTCGACGTCCGTCAGGTGCGCCGCCGCCGGCGCGTCGGGCCGGCGCCGCGGCACGCCCGGCCCCGGCGCCTCCGGCTCCGGCGGTCGCGGCGGCGCGGATTTCGGCGCGGAGCGGAACAGGTCGCCGAAGCTCTTCGGCGGCGTCGCGCCCGCGTCCAAGCTCGCGGCCCGCGGCGGCGTCGGCGCGGCGAGGGACTGGCGGAGGAGCGCGTCGCAGAGGTCGAGGTGGAACTCGAAGCGCTTCACGACGCGCGGCTCCGCGCCGAAGCCCGGCGGCGTCACCTCGAGCTCGTAGAGCGGCCGGTCGCCGAGCACGCTGAAGCCCAGCGCGCGCAGCACGGGCCTCCGGGTGTCGCGGCCCGCGGCGAGGGGCGTCACGCCCGTGCCCGCGGGCGACGGCACGTAGCGGAGCCGCGCGGGCGACGACGGGGCCAGCGGCGGCGGCGCGTCGCTGTGGGGCCGCGCGAAGTCGTGGCGCGCGATGAGGAACTGGGACGGCGAGCGCGCGGCGTCGGCTAAAAGCGCCGCGGCCAAATCCGGCGGCGGCGGCGCCTCGCGCGGCCTCAGGCAGCCGAAGAGGCCCTTGAGCGACACGCCGTCGAGGGAGACGTTCGGCGTACTCCGCCCCCCGAGCAAACCCTCGCCGGCCTCGACGTCGTCGCCCGCGTCGCCGACGGCGAGCGCGCCGACGCCGAGGCAGAGCGCCGCGGCCGCGCAGCTCGCGAAGCGGCCCGCCGCGAGCGCCGCGCCGACGACCTCCACGGCCCCGGCCGCGGGCCGCGCCGCCCGCGCCGCCGCGGGGCCCAGGGCGAAGCCCGCGAGGGCGAGCTCGCCGACGGCGAAGGCCGCGAGCGCGCCGGGCACGTCGCGCGACCGCGCCGCGAGCGACCGCGCGCCGAGCCAGCCGGCGCACCGCGCGGCCGCCGCGCCGCCGACGGCGAGCCGCGAGAGGCGCCAGGGCACGGCGGCGACGGCGTCGATGCCCAGCACGAGGTCGCAGGTCGCCGCGCAGAGCGCCGCGACGCCGATGCCCACGCGCAGGGGCGTGGCCTTCGGCGCGCCCTGCGCGTCGCCGGAGGCGCGCCACATCGCGACGGCGACGCCGAGGAGCAGCACCGTCGTCGGCACGTCGAAGCACAGCGGCGCGCCGTTCGCCGTGTAGCACGACGGCGGGAGCCCCAGCATCGTCTCCGACGATTTGACCCCGCAATGGGAGACGGGCTGCTTGATTAAAACATCGTCTCGACGTTTGACCCCAGCCAATGGGAGACGGGCTGCTTGATTAAAAAATGCTTGTTGAACATACTGTAAAAGCGCGCTACTAGAAACAGGCGAGGTGGCCGCAGCCACCGCTCGCGGTGGCGAGTGGCCGATATGTACGCGACCCTCTTCGACCCGCGGCGCGTCGCGGCGAAGAAGGAGGCCGAGCATGCGAAGAAAGAGGCCTGCTCGCGGCTGAAGCTCTGGGCGCTGGAGCTCGTGCCCGCGGGCCTGCGCCTGCGCGTCACCGTCGACGAGGTCGCGCACGAGGCCGGCGAGGGCCAGGTCGACACGGCGGTCGAGTTCTGGGGCCTCGACAACGAGCTGCGCAACGGCGTCGCCATCGAGGCGCCCGCCGTCGACGTCTCGCGGGACGAGCTCGAGAAACGGTTCCCGAGCGAGGCCGTGCTCCGCGACTGGGCGGCCGGCGTCGACGCCGAGTGGCCGCCGCCGGCGCCGCCGCCCGCCCGCGCCCTGCCCTTCGCCGTCGGGGCGACGGCCGAGGTCTGGCTCGCGGACCGCTGGCGCAAGTGCGAGGTCGCCGCGCACTGGCACCGGTGCAAGGGCTGGCCGCGCGACGCCTACGTGCCCTACGCGCTCAAGCTCTTCCGCACGGGCCGCGCGACCTACGCGCCGACGGAGTCGCACGTCCGCGGCAACGCCCTCGACCCCGAGTGGAAGCAGCGCTGCCCGAAGCAGCCCAAGAAGGAGAGGAAGAAGGAGAAGCCGCTCGAGGGCCGCGCGCTCGAGGAGAAGGAGCGCGAAGAGGAGCGCGAGAAGGAGGTCGTGCACAAGCGCGAGGGCAACGTCATCGACATGACGACGGGCTACGACGTCTCGCGCAAGTGGCGCGAGAACGCGCGGAACCGCGACCACAAGCCCTGGCGCGACAAGTGGAAGACCGACGGCAACGTCATCGACTTCACGGACGCGGGGCCCCGCCGCAGCCGCGTCCTCGACGGCCGCCCCGAGCGGCGCAGCCCCTCGGGCAGCCCGGGCCGCCGCTGGCGCCCCGGCGACCGCCGCGGGCCGTCGCCGCCGCCGCGGCGCCGCGCGAAGCGCGACCGCTCGTCGTCCTCGTCCTCGTCCTCCTCCTCGGGCTCGGACTCGTCGTCGTCGTCGTCGTCGTCGTCGGGCGACTCGTCGTCGAGCGGCCGGCGGCGGAGGCGCGCGCCGAAGAAGACGCGGCCCGCGGCGCCGAGG